TTATGCTCAGCTATGTATTATGTAGCTTACAAATCTTAATTGGCATTATTATTACCGTTTCTCAGTAAACCAATTTTTGTAATGTACTAGACACATCGCGTAATAAAAATCATTCGCGTCAAAATGTTAATTAAATGACAATAGACCTCAATAAGTCTCAAGATGAGCGGCGTTTGTTTTTTCTACCTATGCTGATAGCCTTGAAAGGCTATTTCAGATTCACCTTGACGTGTAGGTGAGCTCACGGGGCCTAAACCGGGAGTGTTGCTAACACTGGCCCTAGCAAGAGCAGTGCTTCACAGAATCTACCACCGGATCGGAAACGTGACTCACTGAGAAGATCCGGCGACAAACTCAGTGGGCTGTGTCTATGAGCAAGCGACGGGCTCGGCGAGGACGGTGACCGGTGCTTGAGATACCTAAAAGCACCGTTAATGGATCGGGAGGATCCGTAATGACGTGCTTAGGACGAGCGGCGGCATTCACTTCGCGTTGTATGTGTGCTCTGGTAACCAATAAAACCAGTCGGACTGTAAGCACAACCAATCGTGTAAGCAACAAAAAAAAAATATACAAAATCTATAAAAACTAACGAAAAGGTTCATATGTTTTTTCAATTAAAAAGAGACAAAAAAATCGCATATTTGATTGTTAAAACTCTATGACGTATGAAGCCTATTTCAGCTTTCGTTAGTTATGTATTGTGGTTTGAAATGTGGAACAGTCAGTAGATCCATAATTTTGTTATTCAATTTAACACTGCACATGGGGTTCTCGAACATGTGGGGTCATGGGATCTCTCATATACTATGGTGCAGAATCGTCTATCGCTTTCGATTTAACCAGTTAACGAAACATGAACCAAATCGATAAGTATTTTTGCTTCTTCTTCGTCGCTTCCTCATTACTGAGGGTCGTGACCACCTTGGTCTAGTTTTTGCGCCAGCTTCCTCCAATGTTGCCTGCATACGGCCTGCTTAATGGCGCCCGGGACGCTGGTGTTTGTGGCCTCTTTGACAATGTCCGTCCACCTGGTTGGCAATCTTCCTCGACTTCTCTTCCCTTCCACGTCACTTACAACTATTGGTTTTTCCAAGTTGTCAGGATTTCGTCGGGCCACGTGTCCGAAGTGCTTGAGGAGACGCTGCGTACAGATCGTAGATAGACGGGTCTTGACGTTTAGCTCCGAGAGAATTGACACATGAATTGAATTTCTGCTTAGCTCAACAAATAATCATCGTTTTCATATTAGTACTATTTCGGCTTAACTCCCTACGCCCTGGTTTAATTCAAGTCACATCCATCCTACAGCAATTACTTAATAGAAAAGCCGGTTTCCCGAAACTCCACGAGACTTCGAAACAAGAAGTTGAACAATGACTCATTCTCCAAAGTTTCTTCGATTTCCGAGACATATTTATTAAATGTTGCCGAATAGTTTTGATAATCAGAGAGTTCGGTTTAATAAGGTGCTGATAATAATCCGTACTAAATAATAGAAATATTGGGATCTCAGTAAAGGAATTGTTTCTTTTTGTATTGAAGGATTACTGGGAGCTCAGAAGCCTTCCCAGTTCCACTAGAATAAGAATATTTTTATTACGGAGGACTAAGGTGTTTGTTATTCGTCGACATTTGAATATTGTGTATTAAGCATTCATTTTCACAATAAGAGGATCTGAGGTGACGAAAGTCTAAAAGATATTGTACTTAAAAATAATATTAAACTAATACAATTTATGTTTGTTTATAATTATTATCAAATTTATCGCAATTAGAAAAGGTAGGTAAACCTATAATTTATATTATATTTATGGTCTACAATTTTCATTTTAAAGAAATAAAAAAACACAAATATACTGTGATATGACTGTGTGTTATAATTTTATAACTTTTGTTTTAGTGTCATTTTCGCATATGGGAAACATCGGGAGGGATACGTTTTATAAACACGAAACGCTTGTGCGGGCTTACCTTTTTTTTTTTTTTTTAGGAGGAAATCACCGGACTTCCGCCCTCCACTGGGGATGGAGGGCGGGGCATGTCGGAGTTGAACCGACTAAAACCTCCTGTCGCTCAACAACCAGCATCCAAACCTCGCATGAGACAGAACTCATGAAAGACAAAGGGGGGAAAGTGAAGCGTTTAGTGCGGAGCACAGCTCTCCCGTCACCCTCCCCCTCGGGGCGGCGGACTGGCGGTCGTCGGCGCCACGACCACCAGCCCTCTCGGTCAGCAGGCTATCCGAAGAGCGGGCTTAGCTTTGACAGTCTGTGTCGAGTCGTCACATAATAAACAGGTTGCAAACTGTCGTGTCTTATTAATAACTAGCGGCCCGCTCCGGCTCCGTTCGGGTCTTTAACAAAAATATCAACGATATTTAACGTTGTTTTAATTTTAAAAATAAAAGAATTTTATTGCGGCATAACTATAATAGTTAGATATATGCTGTCGCGACACTTTTTCTAAATAATAATGTGTTCTACAAAGTCGTAGTACATTATTTTATTCTATCATCAATCGTTTTCGCAGGGCACGCGATGTAAAGAATATTTTAGGTAATTTTTTTACACCTTGGGTTACATTATTGTAGTTTTAGTAAGGATCCCTAATTTTTTTCAAAAAAGATTATAGCCTATGTCACTCGGGAATAGTGTAGCTTCCAAAAAGTGAAAGAATTTTTCAAATCGGTTCAGTAGTTTCGGAGCCTATTCAATACAAACAAACAAACAAATCTTTCCTCTTTATAATATTAGTATAGATTATCACCCTGCATAATATCACACACGCTCTATATTACCACAGACTCAACACGTTTATTTATCACAGACAGACGAAGATTTTTAAGCTTATAACACTTCTAATTTTGGGTAGGAAACTGAAGGCGAAATTGATCGGAAACGACTCTTAACTTCATCATTAGAACTTCGACGAAACAAAACGAGAGGCACTCAGCAAAACTAATTCGTCCTTACCTCCGCTACGTTAACACTCGCGGAAAAGGATTGGAGCGACCGCAAACTTTATTTTGTACCCGTTAGACTAAATCGAGGGGTACTATTGGTTCGAGAACGAAACGATATTTAAACATTTACGTTTCATTACACTTTCGAAGTGAAACTTCTTTAGAATCGTAGGGATGTGATTTCAAAGCCGATGAAACGAAAAAATGAAACGTGAAGTTAAAATATCAATTCACAGAGGGCGCTACCTCATACTATAAAAGATGATTTACACTATCTATGTAGTTTCTTATCAACAGATGTCGCTACACGTAAGTTCAACAATTCCTGAATCGCGATGACGAGATGTTACACAGTTGATAAACGTTCTCGTATTTCTCTCGCTAAATCTTACTTACCTGGCGTAGGGTTACCGATTATACAAACCCCGGGACACCAGTGCGTCCAGGATATCCTTGTGTGTCGTGTGCTGTGCAGAAGTGATCCTACGCGAGTGTGTTTCATCTGGCGTCAGCTGTTTCGGCGCGGTAACGTTCCGAGCAGCACAAACGAGGGACCCGGGAACAGGTGAGTTGATTGACACTATTCTATTCTTAACATTGGTTAATAGCGGGTAGGTGTCGATCAGCCTGTGAAAGCTGCGTAACCATTTTATTTTTTAATAAAACTGGTGTACGTGAGCGCCATTGAGTCTGGCCGCCCGTGTCTGTTCCCAGTCCTCCCCTACCCCTCGGGGTTAGGAGGGGCTGTTACCAACACCCGAAGGCCAATCCTCCACAGGTCTGCGGCGTCGGAGCCTTACAGGTAGGTCGTATGTTTAAGTTTTTTCTAGTTATTTCATTATTTCATTATTAATTGTACAATTGATTATTTCCTATGTCTATTCGATTTCATTGCATTACTTTACATTATTAGTTTCTTTATAATTATTAGGTAGAAAGTAGTTAAATTGTTCACATATTGAATTATCTTAAGTATATAGCGAGTTTAAAATTTTTTCATATCTACCCTCTTTTGGTGTAAATTTTTTTTTTTGAATTCATAATTTAATTTTTAAATCTAGATTACATTATTATTGGCATACCGATCACCGATCATAAGCCGTCCCCATTGTTTTGTCATTTTTTACAATAGTATTGACGATTGTGGTTGTGCGATCCCGTCGTATAAGTTGTATTGCAGCTAATAACTTGTAAATTTCATAGTATTATTTTATCTTTAGTTATTTTTATTTTATTATTAGTTTTATTTTTATTTGTGTGGTACCGGAGCTAGCCGGGAGGAGGAAGGTGCTAGTGTCTCGGTCGTGGCCCGCTCGGTCGTTGATCCCGGGGTTCCCTGATCTCAAACCTGGTTTTGAGATCTTCTAACCCGGGGGTCCCGGCCTTGTGGACCTGGCCCGTGGTATTGGTGTCCAGAACCCACCCGTGTTTTACATAACACACCAATTATTGCGTTTTAGTTGGATAATATAATTATTTTATTGTTTTGTAGTCACTTAGAACTACATATGTAAATTTTCTTTCTTAAATTAATAACTTTAAAATTAATTGATAACAATTAGCAGTAGTTTTAAATTACGTGGTAGAATTATTTAGTAATCTTTTCGAATTGATAGCACTTATTTTATATTAGAATACCACATGCGACGGGTGACCCCAATCACGTTATCGTGATAGTTAATAGCGGTAATTAAGGGTAGTATTTATTGTTTATTATTGCCTAATTGAAGTTAGTTTGACTTAGTTATTAGTTTTGATTAGTATTGATAGATTCAACTATTAATTATTATTTTCTTACTTTATTTTTTGTTTCTTTTTCTACTATTTAAATTAATTATAGTTATACTTGGGACTGCTACTGACAAGCGTCACTAGTCTCCCCTTCACAGTCAAACTGACCTACACTACATTCTTATTCTTCGAAACGAAGGGTCGGCTGACTGGTCGCCCATAGTATATACATAGCCTTCCTAGTGAGGGCACCAATGTCCGCGTGATCTTCAGGATTACCAAATCATGTCTGGGGATCACTCACCCCCCATAATCAGCACTCCCGGCCCGTCTCGTAAGGGACGCCAGGCTATGGCCGAATTACGGACCCATAGACCTGAACCAATGATTCGTACAGTCCCGATGGGGTTCGGAACTGACAATCGGCCCGGGCCTTCGGCCTCGGCCGGGGGTTCTCCGAGGATCGAACCGAGGGAAGGTGCCCTTCCCTCGTTGACCGATCCCTCGGGGCCCTCTCGGCCGCGGAAGAAGGCCAGGTCCGAGTCAGACCGAGGCTCATCGGACCAAGATAAACGACCAAGAATAGGTCCCTCATCCAAATCGGAGGGAGAGGATAGCGAGGCCACGTCTTCCGCCCCGTCCTCTTCCAACTCCAACTCCAACTCCAACTCTGTTTCTCCTTCTTCATCAAGGTCTTCATCCCCCACTGGGAGTCCCATCCCAGTAGCTAAACCCATCCCCAAACCGAGGGCCCCCACCAGGACAGGGGTAGCCCCACGCCAACTCAGATCCCCTCCTCGATCCCCTTCCCCGACCATATCCCCTATCCCAGTGGATACTTGTCGGGGTTCTACCGAATGATTGCGCAGTTCAATGGCTAGCCAGGAACTGCGCATCATTTATTGGAACCCCGGCGGGGTAAAACCCCGCAAGAACGAGCTCTTGGTTCTCGCCCGGGAGTACAACCCTGAGGTTGTGCTCCTGGGCGAGACCAAGCTACGTCCTCGGGATGTGTTCAGGATTCCAAACTACTTCATNACCAAGCCCATCGTATTATATATAAGTATTTATTATTTTGTCGATGTAGTGCAGCCGTGCGCGCTGCGAACAGCGTACCTATCCCCAAAACCTCCCTGCATTATTTCACCCCTGCCCTGTGTGGCAGGGAGCCCCGTCCCGGGTAGTGGGGTTTGCCCCGAGGCCCGTTCCGTGCCCCCGAAAGGGGGTACGACGACCCTTCTTGTCTTGTTGATTATACAAAGACGGTTACCCTAGGGTGAAGCTACTCAAATACACGGCGCAGTGGTCGACTCTTGCGATTATTGTTATTTGTTATAAGTTTCACTTCTACCGTGCGTGACTTGCACTGACTTGCAGCACACACTCACATACTTTTTATTGCTTAGATGGGTGGACGAGCTCACAGCTCACCTGCTGTTATGTTAAGTGGTTACTGGAGCCCATATACATCTACAACGTAAATGCGCCACCCACCTTGAGGTATATGTTCTAAGGTCTCAAGTATAGTTACAACGGCTACCCCACCCTTCAAGCCGAAACGCATTACTGCTTCATAGCAGAAATAGGCAGGGCGGTGGTACCTACCCGCGCGGACTCACAAGAGGTCCTACCAGCAGTAAATTTTCACAACACATGTTATTCTCATCATAGAAATTATATTGCTTGTTCAGTCGTACTTATGGTCAACTACGTATTATGTAGTTTACAAATCAAATCTTAACTGGCATTATTATTAATTAACATTTCTCAATAAACCGACTTTTATAATGTACTTGACACATCGCGTAATAAAAATCATTCGCGTCAAAATGTTAATGTGCGTAATTATATGACAATAGACCTCAATAAGTCTCAAGATGAGCGGCGGTTTTTTTCCCTACCTTGAGAGGCTATTTCAGTTTCTCCTTGACGTGTAGGTGAGCTCACGGGGCTCAAGCCGGGAAAGTCACATGTAATTAAAACTACTTTTGCAGTTATGAATCTCGAGTTCATTATTGTAATAACTACGATTCGTCGTTCGGTCGCCACGAAAACTGTAACTGTATATCGAAATATTGAAACTAATTTAATGACATTAATAAAACGCTATATTAAGCCATAAAACTATGTTTATGTTTTACTAGCTGACCCGGCAGACTTCGTAGTGCTTCAATCGATAAATAAAAGACCTAAACTTTTGTATAAAATAAACTTAAAACAAACAAAAAGAATCCGTCCGACGGAGGACACATCGAAGGAAAAACAAAATTGTTATTTTTATTTAATTCCGAGCATTTTCATATTTATCTACCTTTTAAATCTTCTCTGGACTTTCACCAATAATTCAAGACCAAAATTAGCCAAATCAGTCCAGCCGTTCTCGAGTTTTAGCGAGACTAACGAATAGAAATTCATTTTTATATACCTATATATATAGATTTATTTATTTCTACAACAAAAACCGAGTGAAGCTGGCTGAATGAAACATTATACGATCCTCAATTATCTATATGCTTTGGGTATCAACCGATTGTGTGATACTATAGGCTTCTATTAAAAAAATACAAGTGATGAGGTGCGCTGTGAACCTGAGCGGGTAGGTATCTCCATCCTGCCTATTACATCAGGAAGCAGTCACAAATTTCGATTCGAAGCGTGTGACAGTCGTCACATCATAAAATTGAGACTAGAACCTCATGTTTCAAGGTGGATGGTGGCATTAATGTGTTATCTACCGATTATTTTTCTTTTTTTTTTATTCAGTAGCCATTGATCTAATTTGGCTTGTATCTGTGTATTGTGTCTTTGTTTTATAGCTTTATGGTTTTCTTTAAATAACACAATATTGAATTGAATCAAAAATTATGTAATAGATAAAATATATTTTTTAGCTTAGATGGATTGACGAGCTTACAGCCCACCTGGTGTTAGTGGTTATCGGAGCCCATAGATATCTACAACTTAAATGGCGCCACTTGCCTTGAAACACGAGTTGTAAGGTCTCAGTTTTAACAATACAATGAATCTATAGTTAGCGCTTTAGTGATTATGGTATAAATTCGATCATTCGGCGAAGATCACTTAATGTAGTTACTCTTCCAGTTTTTCAATTTTATGAAAAAAAAAGAGTATAAGTGAAAAATTTGTGAGTTCAAATGGTAGCGCACAATAGCTTTTGTGTGTAAAAATGTACTAAGCCTACAATGCTTTTAGCAACGCTCGATAATCCCCTGTCGAACGATATAGATTTCCGCGCAATGGGATATACTTCGGAAATTTATTTTTGCTTTAGAATACTTAAAAAATTCAGTACAATGCTTATGGTAAGTATCGTTTTATTTGCCACACGTATGTTGCCACAACGTCTCACCGATCAGGCCACGGCGACTTCGGTGAAACGCAACACGGGTATTCTTACCTGTGAAATCGGTTTTCACAATTATTTTAGGCTAAGAATAGACAGAAGGTTGATTCGTCTGTAAGCCGTATTTTTTTTATTGCTTAGATGAGTGGAGCACATAGACATCTACAACGTAATCGCCGCCACCCACCTTGAGACATGAGTTTTCAGTTGTAATAGTACAACGGCTGTCTTACCCTTTAATCCGAAATGCATGAAATGAATGCTTCACGGCAGAAACAGGCAGGGTGGTGGTACCTACCCATGCAGACTCACAAGACACCCTAACATCAGAGAATGCCAAATATTCGAACGTAGTGCGTAAGTCGTACCAAATATTCGCACTAAATTAATAAATGGATTCGATAAATACCTAATTGTAAACTAATAATAATTAATCAGACATTAATTGTTACCCCGGCAGCCCAATTTCATAAAGAAAATGACGTATGACAGAATGAAATAGGCTGTGTTTAATAGAATGTTTTTGGCAAACTTCCATAGTATGCTTGATTAACGCTTGTCAATCAAATTCATGTTATGATATTAAATTTTATAGCAAAATTAATTAGCTTTCGATGGATATTTGCTTCAGGGAAGCTCTACGGTCAAAACATTTGGACAAACTATCTGATAAATGGGAAATGATTTTTTTTCCTACCTATTCTACATAGTAACCTCGAGGGATTATTCTAGATTCACCGAACTAGTAGGTGAACTCGCGGGGCTCAAACCTGACGTTGTTGCTAATACGAACCCTAGCAAGAGCTGTGCTTCGCAGAATCTACCACCGGATCGGAAACGCGACCTTCTGAGAAGATCCGGCGAGAAATTCAGTTGGCTGTGTTAATTTACTCGCCGAGCCCTTCGTCGCAAGCGACGGGTTCGGCGAAGACGGTGACCGGTGCTCCGTAATGGATCCGTAATGACGTGCTTAGGACGACGTCGTCGACTGTTTACCATTCGGCCCGTAGGGTCGGGTATGGAGAAATGAATGAGGCTGCGCGAATCTACGCCTCGTTGTTCGGTTTTGAAGTGAACTGTGTGTGGTAATAACTACTCTAAAGGAATTGTGAGATGGTCCGTAGAGGAGACCCTTTTTTTTTAACTCTGGGGAATCCATTTACGGATACCCGGTCAAGGGGGGTAAGAGACCGGGTTATGTCGGACTCCGGCGCCTCCAGAGAAGAACAGGTTCTTAGACCCTGCGCTAACTTGTCTCGGCGAAGGAGGTTAACGAACCACCACCACGCGGATTGTGATTATGGAGATCGCCATCAAACATCCCAAACTACTTTTGAGGATTAATTTATTTATTTTACACCGGTTTATGCAACGGTAAACTTTTTCACTTCTTCCCTTTTTGATGCTAATATAATTAATGCCGTAGATTATAATATATAATACTAGTGACCCGTAATCGCTTCGCTTTGGAAACATTAAATTTTATTATTGACGATGTTACCCGCGGTTATTGTCGTACCGCGGGTGACGCCGCGGGGCAAAGCTAGTCTAAAAAATGTAGCGTAAGTTACTCCTTATATCAGCATCTACCTATCGGTGAAAGTCCTGTCAAAATCGGTCCAGCCGTTCCAGAGATTAGCCGGAACAAACAGACAGACAAAGACAGAAAAACATATGTAAAAAATATTATTTTGGTGTATGTACTTACCGTATATATATTCATATGCACGTAGTAAAAAACGGTTATTTCAATATTACAAACAGACACTCCAATTTTATTTAAATGGATGTATTGATTAGGTGTCACCTGCAGTTACGCCCGCGTTGTCAGGGTAAAGTATTAATTTTATTTCGTAAGGGTCACGTTATTTTTCTAAAGATAATAAAATAGTATGAATGAGAACTTTTTTTTTTTTTTTTATAAAAGGTACTCCTCTCCCGACTTTTATATCATGTCACTCAATGTCATTCGATTTATTGCGTTGCTTCCTTTCGACCTATAAGGATAAACAAAACACATAAACTTACAAAGACATTTATAATATTTAAAGTATCGAAGGATGGATAACTTAGCCGTTTCAAATGAGAATTTATAGGTTGGTAAGTTTTGTAATATCATAAACTAGATAGCTTTACCATTTCATTACCCAGTAGGGCTTAAAATATTAGGACATGTATTATTTTATGCTAGTGAACGTCAGTCACGCTTTCCGCTTTTTACCTTTTGTGGAAATACGATTTAATCACCTTTAAAGGTAAATTTGAAAGCAGTAGCTATGTGAGAACGACTATAAAAATTATTACATTTTCAATTGAATTTGATTTATAATAGCGTTAATTAGGCTTCCTCTTTAGAAAAGTGATCTTAACTTCAGTCCTCCGTAGTACTCTAAGTTCGATTCGTCGTCGGATTTATTTTCTTTGTCGAAAATATTTGGTACCTGGGGTCTGAGC